CTAAATGATGCTTCGTTTTATTCATCCGGGAGAAAATGCAAGGCCCATTTTTCTACAGCTATCACTGATGGCTGTCTGGGAATAAGGACGTATATGACCCTCTAACACCTGCTCTTTTCATAAAATGACATTTAAATTTCCCCTGATTTTCTTTATGGGAACAAATGGCCATAAGAGTCAATCTAACACTTGCCTGACATTTTGCTCCTGTTGCACTCAAGTGCCCGAGAACAGAAATCTTTTATTTCGGGATTCTTGTTCCACGAGATAGATTTATACGCTCAGATCAGTTTAACTTATTTTAGTTGAGAGAGTTTTGATCTTGATATATAGTGAAATGGGTGATTTAAAAAAAATTGAGGCCATTTTTAATCCCTTAAAAACTCCTAAAATGGTGAAATCTTCTTTCTGGGTGATTTCTTTGGGTGTTACCATGAAATTCACTCTCACTTCAGCAGTCACACCAAACTAAATGTTTAAAAGTTTAAAAAGGGAAAAACTCCCTCATATATAGACAGACTTTTGGCCTTTTGTACTTTGCATATTTTCCTGCATCCATCCTAATTGGAGGATCTGTGAGCTTGAGCTGCCTGTTTAAAGTCATGCAGCAGCAGCAGCAGCAGCTTATTGCTTTTAAGACCAGACTTTATCTGGGAGAATGATCAGAATGATCAGGGGCGTCCTTTATTGGTAAGAATCTTGAATGTTTGAGACAAGAGAGTCTCACAAGGTAGCCACCACTTACATGTGACTAAAGTCATACATTTCAATGCACCTTGTTAATTTTCTTTTCTTTTTCCATCAGCAAAGACGTTGTGACACTGGATACCAGCAAAATCCTCTTGATCAGGGAGGAGTTTTTAAAGTGAAAGGAAACAACGCGGGAAGTGACTGACGGCAGAGGGAGATGTTTTCAGACGTGTTGCAGCTTGTTTGCCTCATCCAAACATCACCCTCCTGATGTGTGCTTTATCAAAATGCAGGATATAAATATTCTCCAGACTACTGCAAGATGCAAAGAGCATTGAATATTCTCAAGTCAGAACGGTTGCTTTTCTAAAAGAAAAAATGCAGGCAAACGCAGTATATTGTGTGCTTATCATCTATTGTTCTGTATTGTGCATATAAAATACAGTTATGTGAACCGAAGAACATGAAATGGTCTCTTTTTGTTGTATTTTGCTGTATGTTCATGTTTCTGTGAGTCAGCCACACTGCAGGGAGAGAGATGAATATGAATGTAAGTTAATCTCGTATTCTTTGGCACCTGATGACAATGTGATTTGTTTTAATTGTACATTTGGGTGAAATCTAGACATGATTTCTGCTGTGTTTCACGCTGTACTGGATGCATACCATGTTTCTCATTTGTTGTTCACAATAAGGAGCTTTTTAACATTTATTTATATTCTTTTCATAGTGATCCGAAGAATTGTTTCCAGCATGTTCAAGGTGTGACTATTACGGTTAATTTGTACTCATTGCATCTGTTGTACAGTCATGGATGATAAGAATTTTTGAAATAAATCTGCCTCCCATCCTTGAAAACGTGTTGTGGCTTATTTTCCACAACGTTAGGGAAACATATCCAGATTGTAGAGTTTCTGTCGTGTTTGGAACAACTGTGTTGGTATTATTCTCTGAAAACAGAAGAAATAGACTCAAACTGGAATCACTGCTTGTGTTGTGACAGAGCTACACCACACTTTGTGACAGTTACATTTAGGATACATTTTGGAGTTTTTTATTTTAAAATATTTTACAGATCATAAGCTTAAAAAAACAATTATTTTTGTATTTACAACACCTCCCACACTTATTTTCACCATTAGCACAGATAGCACCAAAAACCTTAAAAAAAAAAAAAAGCTTTTATAAAATAATGTGGCACTGAAATTGTTGGAGAAATTAATCTATTTAGTGAGAAAAACTACTTTTTTCTGTTTTTCTTCACTAAATTACACATTCCATAAAAAAATGCAACCCAGCGATCCCAGGCAATGGCTTCCATAGATGTGGTCAGGATCACACTTTGGGTCTTTAATCGACCAGTGTAGGCTTTTTGTAGATTCAGAAATTACAATAAATAGCAAATAAATATCATGGTACAGAAATATTTACAAAAATCTACAAATAGAACAGAGAATCAGTACTGAAAACTATATTAAACAATGCTGGGTATTCATAGTGTTTGAGTGGTGACACTTATTTACCTCAGTCTTTAGTCTTGTATACTCATTTAATAGTATGCAGTATATTGCATACTATTACATACTATGTCTTGCTAGACTCGTCCACTGTTCTTTTTGGGTCAAAAGCAAACAACTTTGGGAGAAAGGACCTGCAACACAAACTGGAACCTCTTTTAAGGGTTTTAAGATTTAAGGGTAAATATCTGAATATCATCTGTGTAGCCATGATAGGAGTTAACACTAAACGTTCTTAAAAGACATGGTAAGGGACATAAATAACAAAAACATAGATCCAAGAACAGAATCTTGAGACATACTATGCTGAAGATGGTTTACCTTTAGATTTAGCAGCAAAAGTAGTTCTAGACAGAAAATAAGAAAACCAATCCACTGCTGTATCAGACATATCCACCTAATATATTAATGTTAGGTCGGTAACTTTGAGTTTAGAGTTACAAAATCTAAACTGTAACCAACATTATTAAGTCTACAGCTATTGCTGTCCAAATCAGAAATAAGTCATGAAAAATTCTGAGCAGAAAACATAACTGAAAATTGTCCAATACATTGACTTTATTGGTTGCATCAGGTAACAATAATCAAGGATTTCTAAGTCAACAAACTCAAAGAATAATGGTGGAAAAGCTAAATAATATGAGCATCACAGTGCTGAGAGGACAACTTAGCACTATGATGACACAAATTTAAAATAAGGTGATTTATTTGCTAGATATAATTTTAGTGTTACAATTTTACAAGCAGACATTAATGCCGTTTATGATAGATAGATTTATATGGATATAAATCTATGTTAGGTATAAATTTATACCTAATACATATAAATTGGATATACATTTGATCTAATTTATCAGGCATGTGCAGAGGTGTCCCTAAATCACAGTTTTACTGCAGGATTTATTGTAACCATTTTCCAACAAACTACAGGGAAAAGTAATGTTTAAAAAGACACATTGCTGTGCTAAAGGAACAAATTTTGTTTTTTACTAAGGATGACTTAGAGTACTCATTCACATTACACCAGTTACCTAATTGGAATTGAGAGTATCACTTTATTTTTAACACAGAGCCCTTGTGAATCGTAGTCATTGAGAAATGTGGTAGCTTGGCAGCAACAGATGGCATTTCTAATTCAGTCACTTCATTAGCACCACATCATCATTTTCACAGGTCAAGGCAGGCCACTGGCTGGTTTGCAGGTTTAATTGGTTCTATCACAGCTGGCCAGGAGCCAGTGAGTACAGTGATCGGTCATGCAGCTCCTATAATATGGAAGATGTTCAGGTGCGATGCGCTAAATCTCTCACAGGGCTGCGAAGCTGCTGGAGGAATTATGAGCGTAATAGGGGTCAGGATCTTTATGATTCAGCTGTGATTAACCGACTGGCATACAAAGAAAGCAAAGCATACTCCAAGCTTCGTCTCACAGCTCTCAACTTTCAGTGCTATGAATTTTATCAGAGGAAAATAAAGCAGAAACAATGCATCTATGCTTTATCTATCAAAGCTCTGCAAATCATTTCAAATTTCCCCTGTCTTGTATAGTTTTTTCATGCTCTTGTTTTTGTTTTATTTAGTTAAAGTAGATTTGATTCATTCTGTCATGTTCAATGTTCAATTCAGTGCTTTTGTTACACATTTGTTACATCTGCAAAACAGTTTAGTCATGCATCATCCTGACAGCAAGGAAAAGAGATGCTTCACATTAGTCTATATGTGAGCTTCTATTGTTTTTTTTGTTGTTGTCCTTTTCACTCTTGTTTTCTCTAAAGTCAAATAAATAAATGTATCACTTGGGATTCTGTAAAAATAATAAACCTGTAATGATTGTTGCTAAGGATTAACCTCAGCTCACTCCCTGCTCTTGGTTCTTTTTCTGCGTTTTCTATTTTTACTCCAAAAATATGTAAAAAAAAATATGTAATGTATAACTTAAAATAGTGCAGTCAGATATATTATCATCTTAAATACACCAGAACATTTCTTGTTATAAGTGAGTTACTTTTGATACCAGAAAGTTTTTTTCTTCGAAGTGCATTAACACAACGGAAAAACTTGTGAAGTCAAGTAAGCACCTTTATAATGATTACGATCAACCATCAATTATCAATGGCATTCTCTCTCTCTCTCTCTCTCTCTCTCTCTCTCTCTATTTCCTCTGAAAGACAGTTCCTGGGGAAAGATGCACTGCTGTACATTAAAACAAGTCAATTTGTGAAAGTGACATATGCAAATCAATGATGGATGAGTTTAATTAATGTTACTCTTTAAAATCTTAAATTATTATTTTCTTTTATGTTTATTTGTTTCATTCCCACTGCAATCTACGCCTAGATCAAAATGTTCAGGTCCACGTTCTCAGCAAATTAATCTGAAGAACTTTTATTCCATAGTAGAACTAACATCAGCCACCACTGTTGTCAGCTGCTTAGATTAATCAGTGTAAAGATGAATTTAGCTGCAGCAAATACACTATGTGCACAACTGCTAGACATGCTGTATTTTTATTATTTAAAAATAAAATGCAGTCAACTAAATTAGGATTTTTTTTTATTATTGAAACTTAAGGTAGCGTGATCAGCCACTGTGGTTGCCCACGTTTTTTTTCACTTCCAACAAATTGAAAATACTGATACTCCAAGGCCCTGTCTTGCAAAGGGTGATATTTGCTGTGAATTGACCCCATATGAATAAACTAAATTAAATTCCACTTAATTAGCTTTATGTTTATCATGTAAATTTCTGATACTAACGTTTTTGCTGCCACTAAAATAAGCATAAGTGCCACCTCTCGGCCTTGATGCACTGTTTTAGACCTATGGCTTGTGGGTGGAGCGCAGAAAACTTACCCGGATGTTACCGTTAGCAACGTCATGTAAACAGGAAGTATGAACGCAGACGCGGCGAGTTTAATTTTGCTCAGCCGAATAGCGACATTAAATATTGTTATAAACTCACAGCGTGTTGTTTCAGTATATTTAAATGAACGTATCCGTGAGCTGTTGGGTTGTTCCAGTAGTTTTGACTGCTGTTTGTGGATGAGTTGGTAATAATTTGATTTCCTTTAGCCCCCCCAGCGTCTGGTGGAAGCTACATTTCGGCTAGGCTAGGCTACATGATTTCTGGCCTGAAGACTTTGGGGATGTTTTCGCTGATTTCAATTCAGTTTTCTGCACCGTTCGCGGAGTTTGGCAGGGGTTGGCTGTTATTCCTCTTAGCTAACTTCATATTGAGCAGTTCGACAGATTGAACTGGCTGGATACTGTTACCATGGGAGATAAAGAGCTCAGCCTTATTGACAAGCAGTTGACAAGGTAACGTTGAACAATTATTACATTAAACATTACGTTATTTATTTATTTGCATTAATGCAATAGATTTCAGTATTGCTTTTTAAATAAAGCATGTGGTTAAAAGCATAATTAAAATTTAATCGTAGCGCATTTTTTTAGTATTGGCTAAATGCCAATTTTAAATTTGCTTAATAATATAAGATCAACTAAAAGTTAGTCAATTTGAAGAAATATAACTTGGTTGATACTACCAAGCTAAAAAATTGTCATCCTTTTTTGTTTCTAAATGTGTCAAGTATTAACATAAACACTTTTGAATTAACTAAGGACAGAAATCTGGAACTTTGATATGGATACTCTCCTATTTCATGTTGAATTTAAAACTATCTTTAAAAGAAACATTTTCTCCTGTTATATGTTTTAGTGCTTGGAAAATAAAAACTAAATCAGTCAAAATTGAAATAGACATATTTAACCTGAACAAAAATGGAATGGGATTGGCCATGAAAGACCTTATTGGTCAAGATCTCGTTTTAAATGACATTAATCACAAACATTGGGGGTTTTAATAACCAGAGTAGGTGAGAATGTGTTGAAGAAAGTAATTAATAAAATCATCTATAACCAGAACCAGTGGAAATACATTGAAGAAAGTAATTAATAAAATAAAAATCTTGAATTTGTGTAAAACGCAATGCTGAGAATATGCTTGGATTAAAGTTTTATCCTACTTTAACTCTGACAATGCTTCCTTCTGTGTAGTTTAAAAGATGTTCCCCTGAGTCCTGCTGTTACATCTCTTAATCTGCACTGCAATCACATCCCGAGGATCGAGGGCCTGTCCTCTGCCTGGCATTTGCACTACTTAGACCTTTCTTCCAATCGCATATCTAAGATTGAGGGTCTGAGTTCCCTCACTTCCCTCAGGACTCTGAATTTATCATCCAACTTAATCACAAAGGTTGAAGGTGAGTGTTTTTCTTTCAAATTTTCCCTGCCTAAACAAAATGTTTGAGCTCCTCACAAGTTCTTGAAGTAATAATTCATTCTTCAAATCAGTTTTCAATGTCCCACCTTTTTCAGGACTGAATGGCCTTGTGAACTTGAAGAAATTAAACTTGTCCTACAATAAGATAAATAATATCACAGGTGGGTTAAGTACTGCTTGTGAAGATTTCTGATCCATCTGCACCGAGTGATACGTTTAATGTTAACTATTCCTCAACTCATTTTTGTCAGGTCTGCTGTATCTTCATGGCTCTGAGTACAAACTGAAGCACCTCAGTCTTCATGCCAACCTCATAGACAGCATCGATCATCTTCTGCAGTGCCTACTGGGGTTACAAGGCTTACGCAGCGTCACTTTAAACCAGGATGGTGGAGACAACCCCATCTGCATTGCACCAGGTTGGAATAGAAATACTACGTTTGTACATCATTAGGTAGATGAAAATACAGAATAGGAAATATAAAAGCTTGAATATGCTGAACAAAAAACTGAAACCTGAATAGGTAAAGAAGTAAACAAGTACTTATATTAAAGAGAATCAGACTGATAATAGTTGTTCAGTGAGCTGTTTTTTCATTCTGCCTGGGTCTGTATTTCATGCAGTGATCTAATGCAAGAAAATAGTTTAAGACAGTTATCCATGAATACATATAGCCAATATGAAGAATGACTCTTTACAACTTTTGTGGTTGTTCTGGCTTATTTTTTTAAACAAATCTTTGTCACAACTTCCACATTGAAAAGTGTTTTAGTTGGTCATTTGTACGGCTGTGCCTGTTGGTTGCTATAGATTTCTCTTGTCTGTATTATTAATACGATATTTTGCATATTTCCGACATTCTGTGAGCTCTAGAGCCTAAGCCATATTATTGTGGGTCTGGTTTGGGTGTCTACTGCTGCAAGAATCCATCCAACAGCCTTAAGATATAATTGACATGCAGGATATGCTTACATGACCTTTTGGTTTTTCTCTGACCACTTAGGATTTCTATTTTCTTAACCTCTCTATAGACTCAGTTTCTGCAATTTCAGAGCACAACAAACAAACACAAAAACCAAAATGGTGTTACAGTGTAACTAATGTCCCTGTGAATGGATAACTCCACCCACCCACAGAAATTTTTTTATTTATTTTTTTACCAAAGTGGGCAGAGCCAAGAGACACAGAGGGTGTGGTCAAGTGTGAGGTGTAGTGGAGGGGATTAAGTGAAACTGTGGTCAAGATAAAGGAAATCACTGGTGCGAACTTTGAGACTTTATCTCTTTATGTGATTTTCAGACTCCTCTTACGACTTTTGACAAATTTAGTGACTTCTATCTGTGTTGTTGTGCATTCAGAGCAGAGAGGAGACCCATTCCAATCCATGTCCACATTCTAAATGAATCACACATGTACAAAGGTGAGAAGTGCTCTTGATCAATGCTCACCATGGTTCTAACTCACCATGGGGGTGCATGTCTGAGTAAGGCGGTTTTATACATGTGTCATACACATCAACCACTATTTATGATTGTAACTAGCCAATAGATAAACTCAACTGCAGTTGCCTTCAACCAGGGAGAGCCTCACTAAGATGTTTTTTGGCCAAATATTGCAGAATTAAACACATTTATAACAAAAAAGATGGCAAAGAACAGGTGATTTGTGGTTTAGTTACTCTTTGAATAGTGTGAAGTTTAATTTAAAAATGCATAATTTCATTATTATCTTCAGTGGTGTTCTATAATTGCCAGCAGTCTTTTGTTTGCTGAGGTTTTATTCACATTGTGTGGAACAGAAGTACACATAAATAGTTGGTAAAATTTTCTTAGTCTGTTTGGAAGTTTAAAAAAAATATGATTCACATCATAGTTATTGCAACAGCTCACAGTGTGCATAAGAATCTTGACTGTGAGGAGGATCATATAGGCTGTACAAATTATTAATGCGACGTGCTGGAAAAATATTATCCACTGACATGAGCTGGACAGTCAAAGTCGGTGTTTATGCTGCTCTTAGTTTTGTTGAAAGCCTCGGAGAAAGTAGTTTTTGTAAACATGCTGGAGGTTTGTGTTCTGGTTTCTGACAAGAAAAGTTCAGCCTAAGGACTAGACTGTTCCTATTATTTCCTTCTCTGCCCTCCCAGCTGTTTCATATATGTTATAGAAGGCTTGCACTTGCACTGCTACCAAGAAATATTATTTTGCTTTTCTTCTATTTAAAAAGTCTATGCAAGACCACCAGATTGTGGGATTTTTTTTTATCTGATTATTAAAAAAATATTCAATCTAAAAAACAAGAGCATGACTTTGCCGAATTACCCTACTTTTGTGAATTTAACTTCCTATATTAATAATGAATAATTTATTTTTTAGATTTTGCCAGTGCATTAAAAGTTCTATTTAATCAAAAATTAACATCATTTTGTCCATATCTGTGGTACAAAATAGATCAGTTGATTAGTACAGTTCAAAGCTGCGTTAGCTATTAACAGATTAGTAATTTTGGTTTCCTTTAATAAGCTCATCTGAGTTTAAGTCATTATAAAACTGATAGTCTTATTAACTAAAATCTGTTATAGTTAATAGCGGATTACAGTTGTAAACTATAATCTGTTATTTCTGTTTCTTTTCAGCCCTGTCTTTGTTATTTAGGTTGACAGACATTTTAATATTCAAAATATTCCAGTTATGTTTTCCTCTGCTCATGATTAATTTACAGCCGGTGTCAATAAAATGAGCTGTTTTCATTTTTATGAAAAGATGTTGGTAACTTGCGTCCTTATCTGACTTTGTATACATATATTCTCGTTCAAGACGTTCTCCTGTTACCCAAGCCACATAAGTGGTGCAGATCAGGGTAAGAAATAATAGATAAAATATGTTTGGAGGACAAACTTTGAGATTATTCAATATATTTAAGATAATAACAGTTGTTTAATAGATATTTTTTTTTATCATAACGGTGTATAGGTTTTTCTAATGCAACTGTGTTTCTCCTTTATTGCAGGATATTGGGAAATTGTCATGGAGTCGTTGCCACAGATTTCTGTCCTGGATGGCCTGGACCGGCTCAGACATCCTTCATCTCCAGGAATAAGCAGTGACATCCCCGGCCTGGATGACTACGTGGACTTTTTGCTTTCCTCTGATACGAGCTACGGTGAAGCGGTAATCTGTCATTTTATTCCTCTATTACTTATTTGTACTTCATTTTCCTCCAGTATGTTGCATGATATTTCAGTTGCAAACAAGCACTTCAATACAATTGGTAGCCTACGTTATTCTTATCCAAGTGCCATGGACTTTAGCTTTGGTTATCTGTAAAACATTTGGCCAAGTTTGGATTTGTTTTGTCATCTTTATGATCCCATATAGTTTTCAGTGACTTAGATGCTAAAGCTCAATGAGTTTTTAGGTCATTTTGATGATGGAAAAGAGACAAAAATGTGTGTTAATCACAATCCTTATCGTTAATGTGATATTTAAAGATAAAAACACAGTTTGTGCTCCTAATATCAGGCATTCTTCTATTACTGACAATTTTTAGTACTTTCAAGAAGATAATTTATTAGCATTACAATGGCTGCCTCACCTAAAATCATCAATTCAAGTACAAAACTAAATAAGTTCACTTTAATTCTGTAGGGATTTGTTTATCAGAATTTTTTAGCACATTAAAGCTAATCAAAAATCACATGTTGACCTTTTTGGCTTACTTTAAAGCCCTTTACAACATTATCAAAAGTTTTTTCTTATTATTTTGAAGAATGCATAACTATCACCCGTTCTTCACATTCAACAGTCTTCACACACAGCAAGCAGAGGTGTCTGCAAAACACTTGAGACATCCCCTTCTATATACTTGACTCTTGCCACCCCTGATTAGATGTCGCCCTGAGTGAGGAGGCATATCATGGACTGACAGTGCTGATAGATGACACTCTAGGGTCCCAGGCAAAGCCAACTGCAATATACACATTCTGTCTTGTGTCGTGAAAAGCCATAAAAATAAAATTTGTGCCTAAAGCAAAGTTGAAACCCTGAAATAAAAATATAATTGCAGGTTAGGGGTACTGTCACCACACCACGCATTGACAAGGCGCTAACTCAGTTTCGGCAGCAGATCGCCTCAGAAAAAACAACAGACACAGCCACAGGTCCAGTCACCCAACCAGTCCGTCAGAACTCTCAGCCGGTTTGTCCCACTGTTACCGTTTCACCTGACCCCATCAATGAAGAGCGCATCAGGAAGCTGGAGCACCAGGTGTCGCAGCTCATCCAGCAGGTAACAAATGAAAACCATCATTTGGAAGTATTTTTGCATATTAGACTTTACTGATGATTCAGTCACTGGCATGACTTATAAAGGCTGAATCCCAGCTCAATATGTTATCCAGTTCTGTGGAAATATCTTAGGATTTCACATATAAACTTATAAATCAAATGTACTTTGCGAAAGTATTCATATCCTTCAACGTTGGAATTTTACATTAGAGACCAACACAAAGAAGTGCATAATTGTGAAGGTAGTAAGGAGACATTCTAAATGATTTCAGATTTTTTTATGAAAAAGTATTAAAAAGTGTGGCATTCCATATATTCAGTCCCCTTGAGCCAATACATTGTAGAGTCAACTTTTATTGCAACAACATTCACAAGTTTTCTGTGGTATGGCTCTGGCAGCTTCACATATCTAGAGGCATAAATCTTTGCCCTTCCTCCTTTTAGCTGAAGCTCAGTCAGCTTAAGTATAGATTTTTTTATATGGAAGAAGTGTAGGAACCCTGATTTGATTGCCATAATTTACATCATTCCATTATCCTGTAAGTCTGGTATTTTGTTTAATGTTATTTTTTTGTTGGAAGGTGAAGTCTCTTTTTAGCCTCTATTAAATATTTCTAAGGTTTGCCCTGTTTTTAGCTCCATTCCTCTTACTATCAGCTCTGACACACTTCCCTGTCCTTGCAAAGCAAAAATATTGCCAAAGCATGATGCTGCCACCACTATGTTACACTGTGGTGATGGTGTGTTCAGGGTCCTGTGCAATGTTGGTTCAGGCCACAAACTATTTTTTTAAATGTAGGGCAAAAACCATCTGTTTTGTTCTTATCTGTCCAGAGTCTGCTGACTGCTTCTCTAGTTAAAGATGACCCCCTAAGGCTAGCTTAGGTCAATTGTAGTTTTTCAGTTATGCCATGCTCTTTAATGTTTTGGATGCTCAGACATCTCCACCGCTTCATCTCTTACCAGTCTACTTTGTTTCTTGGTCTTCATGACGTTTTTGTTTATCGATTTGAGGCATTTATCAAATCCCTGAGTCCTTGGCAGCGCAGCTGTATTTATGCTGAGATTATACAACACAGACATATTGTCTTTTGATGGCAGTTGGCTGCACTGGATTTTGGAGAATCAAGGACAGAATACAAATGCAGGCCTAACTTTTTAGACTTAAAGTAAATATCTGAATAGGTACATATTGTCGTCCTTCCTTGTAACTGTTATGCACTAATTTGTGTTGGTCTAGCTCATAAAATATCAATAAAATACATTGAAATCTGTTGTCCTGATGTCTCTCACGTAATCAGAATCCTCTCTCTGTGTCTGTTTCCTACATAACATGTATATTTTCTCTATATTTGCTAAGGCCCCTGCAGGTGAAAAAGCAAGTATCTCTACATATGCTCAGACAAAGGTACGCAAAGCCAAGAGGGACACAGACCAGACATCAGAAAGCGAATGTGACGGCAAAGAAAACAAAAAACACACCAGAATTTCCAAATTCCATAACACGACGACGACAAGCACGACCACCCAGGAGTCCAAGAGCACCAGATCAGACAGGTGAGGCTGTGCTTTAACACATACATAGATCTTTTATTTTTTTGTAGTGGAGATATTTTATTTTTCTGAGATTTAAATAAATATTTTGTGCATATGAAACATCTTAATCACTGGTGGAAAGTCCATGGAAATGTTGGAGTAGTCATTTTAAAAATTAGCATCTTTAATAGCCTTAATATACAATGCAGCTGAGGGCATTATCATGTTATATTTTCACTTCAGTAATCAGATACCTTGATAATAGAGGGAATCCTTTTACAACTAAAACCAGGAGAATGATGCTTATTTTTTAATGTCTCATCACGTCACCTCCATCATTAATAACGAGGATTTCCTGTTGTCCTCTCTCATCTCTCTCCATCAATTGCTGACGACTTGTGCGCCATTTTCTGCAGGCTTAAATCTGTCCACTCTACAGCTCCAGTTTAACTCATATTTTACATTTGTGTAAAGCATGCTAGGATTTTAAGCTTTGACTCCAGACATTCTCTGGAGATCTGCTCTCCTATAGTTTTAGAGCCAGTTCATTTCCTGTGTTTTGTTTTTATTTTGTAGCGATCAGGAGAATCGTAAACTGAACATGTCAAAGTCTGCTGTGGGGCCCAGAAGAAAGGCTGCTGGAGCCAGAGCCGCACCGTCCATTTCTCAAACCTGGAAGCGACCTCTGAGAGCAGCTAAGACCTCCGGCGGTGTAACAGTCAAGTCCTCTCAGGAGGAAGAAACCTATAGGGTATGTTCTGCATCTGTTTGGATGAATGCTAGCATTTTTTAGTAAGTGAATATATTGTAAACGCAATAAGAAAATAAAAACTGAAGAATATGTCTCCTGTAGAAAACAAAAACAAATTGTCCTACTAATAAACCTAATAAAAACCCGGCTATCTTTGTAGCAGCAGAGTCCAATATCTGCTTGGTGTTATTGCACTTTTAAAAAAAAGCAAGCAAATGATCCAAACATATTTATAGTTTCTGTTGCCAAAGAGCTGTATCTTTAGGTTATCTGTCCTGAGCACAATATTGCAAACATCATGATCATATTTCATCAGCGCTCTGGCTGTGATTTATCTGATGGTTGCTCCGAGCCACTGCAAAATAGTTTATGAACTTCTAACTTTTAAATTGAAGAAAACTGCAACCACCCAACTACTTTTCTGTAAAGTAGAATGTCATTGAAAACTTATTTTCTCTCAATAATTTAATTGAAAAATCAAATTTTTGATTAATTCATTATTCAGAGTGATGTATTTCATATTTTCAAATAATTAAAAACCCTTACATTTATTTTCTCAGAAAATAATGATGATCAATATATGTCTGTTTGCTCTACTTTGTTTTATGAATTTTTAATTTTTATTTTGCAGTTTTATCTTAGTAGTTTTATCCAGTATGTTAATCTCTCCACTAGCTATAAGAATGTATTTGACCCTGTATAAAATCTTGACTTTTCTCAAACTCCACTGCTTATTTCACGTTTGAGTAGATTCTCTAGCTGCAGTCCACACCGTTTGAATCTCCCTCAAACACTTGAATGGACTTTGCTTCACATTCCTCTCTAGGCTGTGGGAATCCTTCTTGCGAGTGCATTCTTTTCTACTACATTTTTCCTTCCTCTCAACTTTCTAGTAACATCCTTGGATAAAACAATCTGTAAAGAGGGAGCTTCTTTAGCAATGTGTTTTTGTAACTTACCCTCGAGGAAGATGTCAGTGAACGTCTGCAGGTGATAGAATGCCACTTGTGCGAAAAGTGCAGCCGGGAAAGTTTCTAGCCACTAAATACTCCACAGTGAACTTTTGATGGTTCTTCAGCCGAGTGGAAGTGTTTTTGGAAGGACTTCCAGTTATGAAGATTTTGGCCATTCATAGTTGGCATGCATAGTCAATAGCTACAGACCTCCAAACTTTATGTGACCTGTAGATTAGCTCAAGAACAGAGCAGAGAGATTCATGGAATGGATTTCATGGTTGAGAAACTGCTGCCACGCTTTAAATCATAATCATAGAATGCAGTGTAAATAATTGAATGCAGTAGTGTGAAACTGCCGTACCACTGGACTCCAGAGCAGTGGAAGTTGTGGGGACATTTACACTTAACCTGCATTATGTGAAGTGTAAAGTTTAGTTCTTGCATTCTCACTAAAACCAGGAAGATTTTAGTTCTAAAGTCCTTTCACTGGCTTCCTGTAGCTCAGAGAATAGACTTTTAAATACCGTTAGTTTATAAATCACTGAACAGCTTAGCACTACGATACATCAAAAATCTGTCGTTGTTGTATCAACCTTCCAGACCTATCAGATCTTCTGGTTCTGAACCAGAACCAGAACCAAACACAGAGAAGCAGCAGTCAGCTTCTATATGCCACAAATCTGGAACAAACATCCAGGGAACTGCATAACAGCCAAAACACTGAATTCCTTTAAATCAAGACTAAAAACCCACCTGTCTAGAGTTGCTTTTGAACAACAATAATAAATGAAGCATTTACCAACATATTTGATGTGTATTGTTTAGGTCAGGGGTGGGCAACTCCAGGCCTCGAGGGCCGGTCTCCTGCAACTTTTAGATGTGTCTCTACTTCAACACACCTGAGTCAAGTAATGAAGTCATTAGCAGGACTCTGGAGAACTTGACTGCACTGAGGAGGTGATTCAGCTGTTGGATCCAGGTGTGTTGGGCCAAGGAGACATCGAAGAGTTGCAGGACACCGGCCCTCGAGGACGAGGATTGCCCATCCCTGGTTTAGGTGATGACACTGTATATGTCTGTATATGGTGTTTTCTTTATAATTTTGTAATTTTTTGTTTTTATTTGTATGTTGAACCATACAAATGAACTTGATTGATTGAAAGGGGATTAAGGCTTAAGGCTGTTTTTTCAGGAGCTGGACTCAGACCCTTAATTCCAGTGGAAGGAGTTCTTTATACTTCCATATACAAGGCATTTGAATCATTTTATGCTGCCCATTTTGTGGGAACAGTTTGGCGATAGCTGCTTCCTGTGCCACTGTTACTGCACACCAATGCACAAAGCATGGGATGATTCAGAAAGACATGAATGAGTGAGTTTTGTGTGGACGAACTTGCTTGACCTGACCTGCATGAGTCCTGACCTCAATCTGATGGGACGCCTAAGCAGATGCTGCGAGTCAGGTCTTCTCATCCAGCATCAGTGCCTGACCTCACAAATAGAAAGAGTAATAACAGCTTCCCAGAAGAGCTAAGGGTGTTAAAAGGTGAGCCATCATTACATTCAAGCCAGTTGCCTGAGAATGAGATGCCACTAAGGCTCATATGTTCATGAAGGAAATTGAGTGGATGCTGCTTATGGTGTAAATAATTTTGTGTGTAAATGATAAATGGTCTGTATTTGTATAGCACTTTATAAAGATCAGGGACTTTAAAGCGTTTTACACTACATCTAATCATTCACACATGCAGCTGTGGCTGTACAGCTGTGTAGCTGTGGCTGTACAGTAACTACAGCTGCCCTGGGGCAGACTGAC